GCATGCAGACGACGCACATGAGTCTTCTTAACCGCCCAACACTCTGCCCCATATAACATAGCAGGTCTGACTACGGATCGATAGAACTTACCTTTCATTCTAGGCGAAATCTTCGGATCACACAACACCCCTGAAGCTAACCGCCATTTGGCCCAAGCCACTCCAACCCGATGTCCAACATCCGCATCTAACTCCCCATCCGCCTGAATTACTGAGCCAAGATAACGAAACATGTCTACCTTAGGTACTAGGTGAGAGTCAATCTTGACTTCCACCTCTGATTCTGTATCCCGGCCACTGAAACGACATTCCATGTATTCAGTCTTGTTCCTACTTATTCTGAATCCTTTAGTCTCAAGGCCTGAAAAGGAAAGTGAGAACTTTAATTTTGGACGGAGGGAGTATAAAAGTGCAAACATGTTCAAATTTATATAAAAAGTGTTTTTCAATTTTCTTCATAGGAATTGAGAAATTTTTCAACCCCACTCATAAAGGTTTTTATTTACAGTATTAGTGCATACCAGTTTTTTTAATACCGATTTTTTTGTTGGTTTTTCTAGTTTAAATATTTATTGTTTTTTTTTAAAAAAAAACAATTACGGGGTAATTTTCTTAACACTATATGCCTTCTTCCATGTTTTGCTGACATTTTAAAAGATGACAGTAACAATTTGCCTACTCTTGTGTACTAGGGTAAGGTTTGTCCTTTTCTTTTTGTATTCGATCTTACGTTTTATCGATAGTTGTATCAAGAATATTTTTGCAGAAGCCCTCGTGGGTTTGAAAACTCGCACACGAGTATGATATTTGCCTAAAATTATGATCCGGGCTCATCGTGATCTTGGTTAGCTTAACTGATCGCGCGAATGTTTCCAATCTTCTCTCATTCCCATCATACCCTTTTGATTCATGGAGAATTACATGTTTTTGTTGTTATTATTGTTATTGTTTTTTTGCCCATTGGGATGGGCATGACATTTTTGTTGTATGGATTGTGTTATGATCAAGTTTGGTGTGCACCTTTTTTTGGTATATAAATATGTTAATCCATTGTTATGCGTGATTATTTGTAATGCATGAATTGGTATATTTAGTTGATTTAATTATTTATTTAGCTGAAATTTTATTTACATATAATCTTTCCGTTTTATAAAAATCTTTACTTTATTTTTTTGTCTATCTAAAAAAAAAATTATAGAGAGAAATTATGTGCCTCCTATGTTATATACAAAGTGCTACTCATAAAGAGAATGTATGCACCTTCTATGTTTTACACATCTCGAATTTAGTTGTTAGATTGTAATTCTTTTGCAAATTTACTTATACGCGGACAACGGCAAATATGACTATATTATTTTATCATGATTAATAAAAATAAAGAAAGAAAATGAATAAAGAGTTAAACGAGTTTTAGAATTGGGAGAGTGTACTCTGTAAAATATTTCACTATTGGTCTCATAACTTACTGTAAAATTTTTCACTATTGGTCTCATAACTTAAGGTCTTTTCGAGTCTTCCTTTCTACTCCTATACAATTTCAGGTGGATTTTTGCTTGATATGTAACCAGAATGAATAGAAAATGATAGGAAATCAATCTTCCTGCAGAAAAAGTATGAAAATGCTAGTCACAAACAGAACATTACACAATGCTTAAATTTAAGTACCCGTATGATGAGTTTGTACATTTTGTGACTGTTTTGTTTGTGACTAACAATTTTAAAAAAGTATACTCCCACAGGAGGGACATGTAATTGAATCGACCTGACGTGCTGTCAAATTGAAAATAGGTTATTAAATGATTGTAATAAATTATGAGTATATATTGTTGTTGTTTGTTTTAAAAATGGTATTACCTCCGTATCAGTGCATTTGTTTAGTTGATTTTATCTAGTCAGATTGGATGAACTTTGAACTTCAATTAAATATAAATCATAATGTATACTGGTATAAAATTATTTCATTATTTCTAACTTGTTGACAACTTTAAAGATCTTATTTTATTGTATTATTGTGGTGGAAATCATGAGTAATTGTTGATTAAAACTTGTCTTATTTGATTTTAAATAGTCAAGCTGAATAAATATATTAAAATGAAGTGAGACTCAAAAAATGAAAAAAATCACCGACATGTTATAGAATTGAAAAATATCTAATGATTCTGAAATAAAAGCTCTATTTTTTCTTTTTTAAATAGGAGTTCATATTGTGGTAATATGACGTTGTACATATACGTTTATTACACTTTTTGGCAATACATATAGTAATGACTGATAATGTAAATATATTTCAACTCTTATTTCGAGAATAAAAATATGAAACTCCGATTTTGATATATTTTTAATTTTTAACTACTTTCTCCATCCTAAAATGATTTTCTCAGTCACTATTTATATGGTCAAATTTAATAACGTTTTTTATTTATTTTCATTAATTATTTGATAAAATAATATAGTCAGTCATCTCTTGTTTTGTTGAACTTTTGATTTACTTTTAAAATATATAATTTTTAGTTTTTAAACTTTTAAAATATATAATTTTTAGTTTTTAATTTTACACATATAATCAAATAAATTGAATTCAAAATAATTTTAGTAATATACGGAACTGAAAAAAAGATCTATGTGATCCTTTTACTCCCTCCGTCCCAAATTATAATGCCTGTTTTTTATTCACAGAGTCAAACTTCATTCACTTTTTTCTCTATTTTCGTTAGCAATTTGATAAAATAAAATATTATTGTCACTACTAGTTTTGTAGATCTTTTGATGTAGTTTTTTAATATGTAATTTTTATTTTTTAATTCTATACCATTTGTCATATAAAATTGTTCGAAAATAATTTCAGTCAAACATCGTAAACTGAAACAGGCGTTATAAAATGGGACGAAGGTAGTACGATTTTATTATTGTATGGGACTAGCATTTGTCAGTCGCCAATGAAGCTTCCCCTTCATCATAGCTGAACGCCCTGATCTACAAATTCTTGTTACTACTGCTCCTTGCTGCTACTCTTCTTATCGCTGCTGCTGCTGTTGTTGTTCTTATTAGTAAATTATGTAATTTATGTTTGCCGAAAATCAATCAGGGCTGTGATGATGATGAAATTCTGTATGGTTCATTAAAAGATCGGTCCGACCCGACCCGACGAGCCGTATATTGGCGGGGCGACCTCCGGGTCTGCAGCCATGGAGGTATGGTCTTTCCCTCACTTTACTTTGCAGATCTGAGCCCAATTTATGCGATCAAGCCACAAATTCAGGAATGAGTTTGTAGAGAGATTTGGGTCTATTTTTTCGTGTGTCTGGCGGTTGCCCATCTCGACGCTTCAATGATTCATATCCATTTCCTGAGTATCCAATAGTCACATATGTTTCAAGAATGCTGTAGCGACAATGAAACCGTTACTGTTTTTGAGCCTCTTGTTTTCAGGCAAATTCTGTTTTTGAGCTTCAAATCATTTTAAGGTGTTCCGTTGGTAAAATTAATGGTTCACCCATGCTCCGTAATAATAGTAATAATAATAATAAGAGTAAATTCCATAAAAGGTCTTCAGTTATAGATCGTTTTACAGATTTAGTCTCTGCATATTAAATATTACTAATTTAGTCTCCAATTATAATAACATTTTTCACGAATGGTCCTTTGTTAACGTTTTCGTTAAGAACATGGATAAAATTGAATATTCATACTTCTCTCTCTCCTCAATTAAGCTTCCCCTCCTCTCGTACTATTTCCCAAACTCGTTGCTGAGTTTGAAGCTCTAAACCAACTGAAATGATCATTCGTCCCTCAATTATTAGTCTTTTTGGTGGAACCTAAAATCAAAATCAATAAGTTTTATAGATGAGTTTTATCGCTTAGTCTCAAGAAATTGCAAAAAAATAAACATTAAAACTCATCCATGAAGGTTACTGGTTTTGAATTTTGATTCCACTAGTTAGACAAACAATTATGAGAAGAGTGATGATTTCGGTTTTGGGTTCAAAGGTTCAAACTCAGCAGCAGGTTTGGGAAAGGAGTGCGAGAGGAGGAAGGAAGCTTAATTGAGGAGATAAAATAATGTGAATTTACAATTTTATCAACATTCTTAACGAATATGTTAACAAAGGACCATTTGGGAAATGAATATAATAATTAGGGACTAAATTAGTAATATTTGATATGTAGGGACTAAATATGTAAAACGATCTATAACTGGGGATCTTTTATGGAATTTACTTTAAAATATGTAACAATTATTATTATTATCCCTATTATTAGGGAAATTTATCTAAATAGTACTAAAACATAGTACTTTCTCAATGTAGTACCATATGTTTTTGTTTCCCAATGTGTTACCACTAGTCATTGCTCAAGTAAATGTCCACCGCCACGGGACATTGTTCAAATTAAATGTCCACCATCACTAAATATTGTTCCCGCCACTAGACATTATACAAGTACTATTCAGGGAATAAAAATGTTGAAGTACTACATTGAAAAATGACATGTTTTAGTACTTCCTCCGCCCCGCTAAAATCTTCTCGTTTTGACTTTTTGTGGTTTTTAAGGAGAGTTGAAAAAAGGTGAAAGTTACCAAAATACCCTTAATGAAAATTGGTGGAATGTATTAAATAAGGTGGAAAAGGTGTAATAAATAAAGTAAGTGAGGATAGTTATGGTATTTTAAATGTTAAAAAAGGTAATGAGAAGATCTATGTGGGACAAATAAAAAGGGCTAATTGGAAGATCTATGGGGACTGAGGGAGTGCTATTTAGTGCAAATTTCACTTATTATTATTATTGCATTTCAGCCGTTATGTACACGAAAAGCTGTTGGCATGTGTTATCTTTGTGCAAAGGCAGTGATGATAAAATATCTCGGGTTGAAACAGCAAGGAAAAACTGAACCGTATCTTGGCGAGGCAACCTCTAGGATTTGCAGCCATGGCGGTGTCTTAATCCTTTGCTTCATTATATGTATTGTTTGTCTGAGCCTGCACTCTATATGAACCTCTCTATCTATCCATCCATCTATATGTCTTTCTGATTGAAAAATAGGGGTTACCCTCTGAAAATGGTGAGCTGAATTTTCTGAAATTAAAAGCATTTGGTAAAATTGATTTCCATCCAAGTAAGTCAAATGGCGAGTTTATCTTCCTTTGCATCTTACTTCCTATGACGTTTTGGGTAGTAAGTGCATCAATGCATCAAGATTATGTACATCTTGACCCCAACATCGTTGCCTCGTTGGAATTTTCTGTTTGTGTGCGTATGGTTTATGTGTATCATTACCGCAGGAGCATTGGAAAGTCTCTATGCTCTTACTCTGCTCGTTCCACTGTGTATACTTTAATAGCATTATGACTATTGAAACACACTCCAGAAGTCCATGGGAAATCCATTTTTCTCAGCAGACTATACCCTACCTTTTGTGGGATTTTACTGGTTTTGTTGATGTGGAAACAAAATGTTGTTGATCCTGTTAAAATCTATAGGCTGGGATGACATATATGTTAAGTTGAATGAGCAAGGAAGAATTGAACCGTATCTTGGTGGGGCAGCCCTAGGGTTAGCAGCAATGGCGATGTCTTCATCCTTACTCGACCATATTTTTTTGGTCTGAGCCTGCTATGTAAACCTACATATCTATCAATCAATCTATCTATCTATCTGTCTATCTATAAGTTTGTCCCTGCATTAAAGATACACCTGGAAGAGGCTGCAGTCGTATCCGAGTCTTTTGACCTCGTATCTGGTCAAAGATACTCCTGGAAGAGTGTTTGTGCTTGATCTTGGAAACAGCCTCTCTACTTTCAAAGAGGGGCAAGGTCTGTGTACACACCCCATACCCTGCTTTTGGTGAGATTTTACTGGGTTGTTGTTTGGTGTGTTTGTGCTAAATAGCCTTGGATTGTAAAGAGAACAAGTATGTAGGAGAGGATTTCTAGGGTTGTTGACATTCTCATCAGGATGATCTCTTGAAATGCTCAACAACCCTTTATTTTGGATCGACAGGGAGGGATACATGCTTCAACAACCCTTTTCATATCTACGGATATGATTCTTGATTATCATCCCATCCATAGAACCATGATTGTTGTTGTTGCTGGTGCATAGTCAGTCTATGATGATAATGAATTGTTCTATAGTTCCTTTGGTGTGGAGTGACTCAACCCGTGTCTTGGCGTGGCGGCCTAAGGTCAGCAGCCATGGCGGTGCGGCATGTCCTTTACCCTATTTCATTGATCTGAGCCATGGTTCTGCAGTCAAGCCAATAATGTCTATTTGGACCCTGCTATGAAATGTTGATTATAACATCTACGGATTGGCTGTGATGATGGATATGTTGAGTTGATTGGGTAGAGGAATAAGTATGCTGTATCTTGGCATGGCAACCACTGGTTTGCAGCCATGACAGCATCTTTGTCCTTGCTTGATTGTGATTGACTTCTGAGCCATTTGCGTACACGGAAACCTTCCCCGGACCATACTCTTGTTGGATTTTACTAGTTTGTTGTTGTTCAAAGTCATGTGATTTCTATTCTAAAAGGTAAAACAATTTATAAAAAAATACTTCTCCTCGGCAATTGTTTTCCTTTCTCTAGCAATTTGGTTATCCAAACATACCCTATTTTTCTTCTAATGGAATTATGAGCCAAATGCGTTGTTTGGTGAGAGTATGGGATGATTTGGGTGTTCTTTTGGTGATACACTTTCAATGATTTCTTTCCATTTCCGCACAATCTCACAGCCCTAAATATAAATTTTGCCTAGTATAAATTTCTACAAGCAAGACTGTAATTTCATGTAGTACAAATGAAATGTTGATTATAACATCTATGGATTGGCTGTGATGATGGATATGTTGAGTTGATTGGGTAAAGGAATAAGTATGTTGTATCTTGGCATGGCAACCACTGGTTTGCAGCCATGGCAGCATCTTTGTCCTTGCTTGATTGTGATTGACTTCTGAGCCATTTGGGGAAATGGGGAGATGTTAAGAGAATGAAAGCAGAGAGAAAGATTGAACCGTATCTTGGTGGGGCAGCCCTAGGGTTAGCAGCCATGGCGATGTCTTCATCCTTCCTCGATCATATTCTTTGTCTGATCTCGCTGTCTATATAAACCTATCTATCTACAGGTTGTCACTACCTTAACCGGAAAAAGGTAATTTTGGATGTTTCTGTGGGGTTGCTTCCCTCTTTTTTTGTGGAAACAAAATGTTCTTGATCTTGTTACCTTTCTATAGGTTGCGATGACATGTATGTCGGGTTGAATGAACAAGGAAGAATTGAACCGTATCTTGGTGGGGCATCCCTAGGATTGCAGCCATGGTGGTGTTTTATCCATACTATACCGGACCACGGACCTATCTGAGTCCTTTGACTTCGTATCTCGTCAACAATACACCTGGAAGAGTGTTCGTGTTTGCGCTTGGAAACAGCCTCTCTAGTTTCAAAGAGTGGGTAAGATCTGTGTAGACACCCATACCCCGCTTCGATTGGGTTATGGGCAAAGGAATAACCAATGGTTTGCAGCCATGACAGCATCTTTGCCCTTGCTTGATTGTGATTGACTTCTGAGCCATTTGGGGAACTGGCGTGCGAGGAAGGCCGACGGAAGAAGGAAGAAGATGAGGTAATAGAGGACTTCCTGGAATGATTTCTTTTACATCATGTTTGGTTTAAAGAACTTGGAAGAAAAAAAGAAGATGAATAATTCTCTTATTTTTCTCACCGAAATGGAAATGGGAGGAACATGGTTTTCCCTTCTCTTCGTAGATTTTGCCTTTTCGTTTTTCTTTTCATTTTATCCACTTTTCTTTTCTTTTCCTCTCTAACCGAACATGATAAATTATTTCCCCTCTCGTTTTTCTTTTCTTTTTCTTTTCAAATTCCTTGAACCAAACATAGTGTTAGGGATTTTCGGGATTTTAAACTTGCTGTGATGTGAACTTTTTTTTTTATGCGGACTATAGTGTAGGATATTCTAAGCTTGTTGTGATGTGTATTTTGGTTATGTTTAATGCACTTTTGGGTATTTTAAAGATAATATGGGATTTGTGATTGATTTATGAGTATATACTCCACTTTTGAGCATTTTAACTTGATAAACATCTTTAGGATAAGACCTTGTTTTACTTCTATAAATTGTATTGATACGTGTTTGCCATTTGTGATAGTTTAAAATTTTTGATAAAAGAAGTTGTAATTGTAAACTCTCCGAAGTTTTGAGGGTCCGTTTGGAAAGGAAGAAAGTGACTTCTATAAGTCATTTTTTCCATTATCCAGTGTTGTTAACTTAATAAAATGGGAGTGAATGGGTTGGTCAATGGAAAATGAGGTCTAAAATCTGAAAATTATCTTCTGCTTTTGAGATTTGGTAGAAATTTTTCGTTGTGCATTGCCTCCGCTTTTATGCCTTCATCGCTCCTTTAATATCTGTATGTTTTACGTAGGGTTGGGCGCGGTCCGAGATGGTTCGTGATACTATCGGAACCTATTACGAACCGCTCTTATTTAAACGGTTCGGTATCGGTACGGGATTAATTCCAAAAGGGAGAAACACCAAACTACGGCTAAAACATTGAAAATATACCAAAATAGAACTTCCATGTTTTTATTCCCGAAATAGGACTTACATTACCAAACATGGTCAAATACATTACCAAAAAAGTATAGTAATTTGCACATATACACTGCCACATTATCACAATGCAAAGTCACATTACCACAGTGCAAAGTCCTATTCTGGGAAAAAAAACATGAAAGTCCTATTTTGGTACTTTTTTCTATATTTTTTTGTCCTATTTAGAATGATTTCTAATTCCAAACCATTCGATACCATTCCGTTTTGAAACGGAACGGTACAATACCATACCCATGCTCAAACCGTGCCAAAAAAATGAATGTACATTACTCAAATAATATTGAATTTAATGTATAAATTTGTATAAAAAAGCACAAGTTTGTTAAATAAAAGTATTGATTTCAAATTTAAACGGATCATAAACATAAAGAATAAGAGATAACGAGTCCAAAGTTAAAAAATAATTTTTTCCCAATTCATATAATATCGGAATACTAATAACTATAAAAAAAATAATGTTAATAGTAATGATAAATATAATAACAACAATATTAATGAGAGAGTTTAAAAATGAATAATAAAATACAAATTAAAGTATTCTATATACTAATAAGATGAAGTAGACAAATACTCCATAATTATTTGAGATACGTACTCCGTATATAGCGTTGGACGGTTCAGTCCGTGATAATCGGTTTTAAACATATGTATCAGAGTCATGTCCCATTTGATATCGGTTCGGTTTCGGTTTGTGATGAAAAAAATCATTCCCGTTTGAAAACACCATAAACGGTTTGGTACCTTTACGGTCCGGTATGGTACCATGCTAGTTTGGTTTTTTTGTCCACCCCTAGTTTTACGGAATAATTTTATTTGAAATTTAAAAACTACTGTAAAATTTATAAAAACAAGAGTCCAAAAATTAGAAATTAAAATTTGAATCCTCACTAAAATCAAATGGAATAGAAGAGAGACTGCAATTATGTTTGACATTAGTTTCTAAGTTTAGTTTTAGCGTTCTAAAAGTTTTATTTAATTGTAATAGCATACTCCCTCCGTCCCAGAGTATTTGTCCACTTTCATTTTTGCACATCATCCAATACACTTCTTTAATCCATTTTATCTTGTAATTTGTATATTAAAAAATTATAGAAATTATATATTAATAATCTATATGTTAAGACAAATCAAACAAGATCACACATGACCATGTTTAGGCTTACACATTGAAAGAATTTGATGAGTCAAAGTGCTTAGATGAACAGTTCCAAAAGTCAAAAGTGGACGAATATAGCGGGACGGAGGGAGTATATTATTATTTTTTACTGTGTTATTTAAAAGTTATCTAAAAAATTACTCTAGTGTTAAATGTTAATTACAAGGGGACGGTTCGGGTGACACGAACCCCCATGTCATCCTGTGACATGGGCCTCGATTAGGTATCCACGATGCTCTGTTCAAAAAATTGATAGTTTCTATCCCTCTTAACTTTCTGATAAATCCCCAACCCCTGGCTCGACCTGAACATATCCCTAC